ACTTTTTCTTGCCACATATACCTGGAAGTGTTTGTGGAAGAATACTGGAACTTGGTATGGAGTTGTGTATACAAAATGTTTCACTTGCTCATGGAAAAAATGTGAGTTATTTAAAAAGGAGGCATGTCTCCTCCCATACATACTAAACATTTCTTAATGCATATCTCTGCAAGGATAGAAAATCTTTGGAAGTATTTTAAATTTGTTATGGAGGTTTATTTTATAGATAGAAAAATTTTATTTAATGGAAAAGGGAGAGCCGGGTTCGGCCTTATAATCTAAAGCTCTCTTGAGGCATTTGCTACAGTAATGAGAAGTGGTATTTTATCAAGGCCAGGTTACTAAATTTGAGTTGGAAATATTAGAACCCGCCGTGGCACTTCCAAGAAGGTTACATGTTTACGCGTCGTATACCTGGAACCATTTTAAGGTAAACTTAGAGGGATTGATATCTTTCGTATGCCTAGCGCGCAGACGAGATTTTATAATTTCATAGTTTTAAACGGCCTAAATACCTTAACTCGCTTAAAAAACAACGAGCTATAACGAAATGGGCACAGAAATAAAATCTAACATTATTAAATTATTTTTCTTATTTGCATAAAAGCGCGGGGTGAAACCCGCGGGTATAACCTAGTTGTTATAATAAATTACAATTATTGTTTGTTACCATTTCGGTCAACCGCGCAAATTATTTATTTAAAAAAAATGTCGTTTAAAAATACCAGATTTTGTTTACTTTTGAATAAGACTTTATCGAGTGCGCTATAAAGACAGGGGTATAAATACTGTAAAGAAATATATTACCTTGTTTATACCTACGCAAGAACCGCATTAACAAAAAGCTGATTTGACTCAACACATATTTCTTTCAACCATTTATACCTGTGTCGTTATAGCGCACTTGCTGAAACCGTATTCAAAAGTAAACAAAATTGTTATTTTTATGCGATATTCCTTAAAGAATTAATTTGCGCGGTGGACCAAAATGGAAGCTGAAAAAATTCAAATTTGTTATAATAATAATTCAGATTTAAAACGGGCCGTATAAAGAAAACCAGCCTTTTTTCACTTCGCGTCAAATGAGTGATTTGTTTATACCTGTTTCTAAGCGATTTGAAAACAAATTCGAGTCAATGCACTTTTGAATTTCTGAGCGTATTGAAAGTTGGTATGCTTCCGTTTTGAATCACATCGAACTGGTGTTGGTATAAACAAGGTATATGTTGAGTCCAATCGGTTTTTTGTTAATGCGGTTCTTGTGTAGGTATAAACAAGGTATATGAAAAAAATTACTTCTCCATGAAAAAATATCGTTATTTTCGTATTTAAAATTAATCGGAATTTTATGGGGGGTTATAAAAACTCGTTTTAATCGAAACTTAGTTTTGCGGCTATATTTGTTATTATTTATTGGCCCAGATGTAAATATTGAATGAACTAACATAATTTAAATATTTATGGAACTACCATTTGTATGCAACCCTGCCTATCATATATTCAAGTAGATGTAATTCGAAAAATTTAAACGGATTTCTTCAAATCAACCTGAGCTGCGGACATATTGCGAATTCATTTTTAAACATTACCCACTACATTATATTAGTATTAAATACTTTCAATAAAGAAACAATTCTTATTAGAACATAAATATGAATTGTTTTATTTTAAATCAGCGAATTTATATTTTTTGTTAATGCAGATAGTGCGGATTTAACGTATTTTATATCCGTTACATGGGGAACATAAATTTAAGGCAGATTGCTATTAACAATTTTGATACAATTTACGATTGCAATCAATTTCTTTCAAAACTATAATCTAAATGATTGCAAGTTGTATTTTTACGATCAAAACAGATTCCAATATTAGGTATATTATGCAAATGCAATCCAATTTGATTTGAGTTATTCAGGTTTAGATACATTTATATTTCTGTGTTTGTATGGAATATTAGTTTATGTCGGGAAACTGGCTTTAGTATAATCTGGCATTCCCTTTATTATTTACAACACAAGGAATTTTTCGATGACCCTTAACAAGAATATTGACTTTCTAGTATCGGAACCATTTCTTTCACGTTTCTTCAACGGCTCGGCGCCAGTGAGTTATTTGCAACGGTATGCCGGAATGCCGCATTATACTAAAGCCAACCTTTGGCATAACCTAATATTCCATACGAACACAGATTTCATTACATACTCAAATTTCACATACAAAACGGAGCATTCATAATCTTTTACTGGTACCAATTTTCGTCGTCGTTATATCATAATCTAATTTTCTCATGGTTCGGTTAGTGGGGCACGTGCGAAATGTGGATTTTCCCAGTTGCAGTACTGCAGTAACTCGACACCTTCCTCACCAACAGCTCTGTCCTCTATAAGCTTCTTAATGAAACTGCAAATGAATGAAAAGAAATAAAAGATGGAAATTTAAGAAAAATTAAATACTATCACAGCGTTTCACTAACGATAATGGTATTAAATCCTCACGACTGCTGCTTTTCCTTTGTACCCAAGCCCAGGTACATGCTGAACAAGCTGTAATGTGCATTTTCGCTCACCTCAACATCGTCGAATTAATTCCATTAGAATGTAGCAATGTATGTACCACAATGTCAGTTAACTCAATTGATAGTCTCGCAAATTGATTGGCAATTATCGCTCGCCTCGGATGACTCCACTCTTCAGTTTGACTTAACTATATACTATAAAATATATAAAAAAGTTGCGTTCCAAATACTTCACGATTTGCAGGTTTTTACAGGAATCTGTTCCAGGTGGCCAGCTTCCATAAAGTTTATTAATGGCGAAAACAGCTTTTCCTCCAAATCCTGTAAAACCTAGAAGTCGTGAAGCATCTGGAACGCAACTACATATTTGTAGTTTAAAAGATATGTGTACGTAGCATACTTTTTAGTGGAATAGCAGCCTGTGTTGACAAACATGGGCTTTTCCTACCAAAACTGGTAGGTTTTTCCATTTGGTAGGTTGGTAGGCTTGATTGGATTTTGGTAGGTTTCGGGACTACGAGTAATAGTTATTTAAGAAAAATAGAAAATATGTATCTGTAAACATTTTAGCAATTTTTTTTTACATGAATATTTCACCGGTGCGTTCGTATAACGGCGGCCGCAAACACGATTCCTCAGTGCAAACGTATACCCTTATTATTGCCATATATACTTTATGGCGTACTTGGTCCAAGATTCCAGGAAAGTCTGCCAATGGGCTTTTACCCAACCATATTCTGGGCGGAGGCCTTCGCAATCGAAGTCTGTGTTCTCGAATTTTATCGCAGAAGGCAAATGAGGCCAGAATAAATATTATGTCAGATATTCATGCAGCGTTAGAAGCCTTAGAGTCTTTTAAAACGGCATCAAGGCTTATGAACTCTTGAATCACCTGGGAGCCCACAATAGCCCACCGCTGTGGAGGGTTCAGGGACATGAAGGGTTTGAAGGCAACGAAAGGACTGACTGTCTTGCAAAGAGTGGAGCCCAAATGCGTTTGCATAGTTCCAAGCCTTTTTGCGGTACATCTAAAGAATACACTGCAGACCTACTTAGGAGCTGGCTGGGAATTGCTGCACACTGGCGGAAGTCGAAGGGAATAAGACAATCAAAGAGATTCATAACTTTTCAGGAGGAACTCCGAAAGATACCTTGAACTTAAAACTCTTACTGGTTATCTGACAGCACACTGCAAGTTAACGTACCGATTGAATTAAAGGGTCTTTCTTTAGAGACTGACTGTAGGTTTTGTGGGCCGTTGAAGGAAGCCCCAGAGTATATTCTATGTGCCTGTCCACGAAGCATAAATAGTATATTGATGCACCATGGGGAAGGATTGTCTTCTCCATTTAAAATTTGGAACATGGTTTCATCAAAAGTGCTGAGCTTTTTAAATAGCCTAATATTGGAGCGATTACAATTAGGATTTAGCACAATATATCTTCTTAGGTCGCAACGCGGGTATCTCCGAAGTAATAATAATAATATAGTCACTTGACACGAATAAAGACGCTCGGGTGTCTTGCGAAAAAAGACGCGTTGGATTCAACATCAGTCCGGAAAAACTCTTTGGGGAATTCGTATACTCGCAAACATAATTGACCGCGAAAATAAGTCTTCTTCGTCTTTCTTCCCCGTCAAAGAGGTTAACGCGTCTTTCTTTGCCCTCGCCTATGTTAAGAGTTCTTCTACGCCGAAATTTTTTTACGCGTCTTTTTTCGCTGTCAACTTTTGAGCTCGCGTCTTTATTCGTATCTAATGACGATATGTATGTATGTACAGTAAAATGAATCGTTATACGCAGCTAATTTGTTTTCATTGTACTAGCTGTGTTTTAGTTTTACTAAATGTTATGTTAGCTATGTTTTTAATAAATTTGACATTGAAAAAAAATATTAAAACTGTAAAAAATGTTTGGTAGGTTTTGGTTGGTTATGGTAGGTAATTTTGGTAGGAAAAAAATGTGTCTGTGGCAACGCTGATAGCAGCCACGACTCGTGTTGACGGTGTGGTGTGGTGAAGCTGCTTGGAGATGGCTCTCTTGTAGTATATTGACTTTTGGTGCTCCAGCAACTGGTTTGTCTATGGCGGAGTTATGACTAAAGTCAATTTGGACTTTTTGAGAACTGGGTTGTTTGTTGCGAAAGCTATTGGCATCACATGTATGCAAATTAGATTTCCAAACGAGCAACTGTTGAATATGGGGAAAAAATGTATATTATATAAGTTTTTCACACACAAAGCAGAAATTACCTGTCGCTCCTCGCCCGCGTAAGCACAATGTCTACCATCTGGAGAGAAAGCGACGGCGCAAACTTTGCCAGTACGGCCAGTTAGTGAATAAATTGGTCGACCTTCTAATAAATCAAGCAATGTTATTGTATCGTCATCGCCGCCAGTCAACAAATTTCCACTTGGGTGAAATGCAGCATTATTCACCGGCGCCGACTGCACTTGATACAACTGTATTAGCTCGCTTTCGGCTATGTCAAATATCTTAACGCGGTTACAACTTAATGCTAAAGCCACCAGATTACCGTCTGGATGCCATGCCAGCTGTCGTCCCATACCTCTTTCCGCGGTTAACGTTCGCACAAATTCGCCTGAAGATGTATCGCAAATTCTTAATGGCTTGTCGTCGCCGCACGATGCAATTAACTGGCCATTAGGGCTGAATTTTGCTGCATCCACCCAATTTGTGTGTCCAGTGAAAGATGTATATTTTGAATCATGTATTTTGATGGCTATTCGCCATTTTTCGAGTCTGCAAACGAATAATCTGACGAAGATGCAAACAAATTCAAGCACATTGTTGCATTCTAACGTACCTTTTAAAAGCTTTAAACTTTTATAATATGAATATTTCTAGTGTCGAAATCAAAACGAAATTTTATAAATAGCATTTTTAAAAAACAATCATCTAATATTTTTCAAGTTTTTGGGCATATATGTTACCATTTGAACAACAAATACTACTAAGTTTTTGAAACTATTTAATGCAACTCAGGTCAAAAAAGCACTGTTTTGACCAAAATAAGCAACTCTAAAAAAGAGATGATCGCAGCTGTGGCTCAGGATGACGTCTATTGCTAAGATATCTCATTTGTATTTGTCCCCCCCTTCGATTAGCCACTTCTCTGCTTGCTAGGTTTGAGCTCTGCTCTCTTGCCAATAAATGCATATATGAATGCAAATAAGAAGTTATATAGCTGAATTCAAAAAGTAAATTAATATCTTTAGATTAATAGCCTTATTCATAAAAAATTAAATAGTTTTAAAAAAGGTTTATAAATTGAAAAATTTATGAAAACGTCAATTCATAAAGCTTTTTAAACCTACTTTATTTTTTATGAATAAGGCCATAAAAGTATGAGGTGGGTTTTGTCGAAGGCTGAGATATGCTCAGCCGCTCCAGAGTCCAGCGAAGGTCCCACTAACCCCCACCAAATAAAACACAATGATTTGTGTATTAAGTCGAACACACCCACACACACACGCGGCTATCTAGAATGCCGGCAACTTGTCGTACAGGGGAGAGCGGAAGATAGAGAGAGAGAGTCGGCAGTCGGTGTCGGAGATTATTCGGTGGGTAATTGTACGGCGACGGGAGTGCTACTGATGACAGCAGATTGGCAGTGGTACCAGTGGTGCCACGAAGCATTTTTAGTGGTAGCCAAATTCCTTTAAAAAAAGGGCTAAAAAAGAGATAAAAAAAGTCGTTGTGGCTAAAAATGGTAGCTAAAATTCTTTACTTACATAATCATATATAAGTATACACGCAATCATTTTCAATAAGTAATGGTATAGAAAAACAATGAACTCTGGAAAAAAGCGAATATTTTATCCAACCAAAAACCTTTTCGTATAAAAGGGGAAATATACGACACCAGCTTGCTGGATCGATCAAGTGATTGTACCATCAAGATCGAAGCATATAACTTACCAGCATGCTGGTACAATATTTATTTCTTTACAAATGAGGTCGAGGAAAGATCGAAATGATTTGAGCAGTGTTGCCACTGGAGTTTAGTTTTAGGTACCAAAATGCCTACCAAATCAGTTTCCAATCTACCAAATTTTTGTTCATCATTAAAACGAAATTTCTTGAATTTACACCCCGTTTTAGCTACACAAATTTACAGTATAATATCGTTTACGGTGTTCATTCATACCAATATTTAAAGTTAAACAAAACCAATTCGGGCTTTTAAATAAAATAATTAACGTATTGCGTAAAAAACTTTTGTAATAAATGTATGTAAAAACCTTTGAGTTAATTCTATTCATATCAAAAAATATTTATGTTTGAAAAAACAAAATCTGAGATTTTATGCATTTCAATAAAAAAATTCCAAATTTTGTTTCAATTTGCATACACTCACACTTTGGAAATTGCCTATCACCAATTTTTCTTTCCAGACGATAAACAAATTTTTGTTCAATTTCAACAGCTGATCGATCATAGCTTTGGGAAGCCAGTTTTTGTTTGCAGAAAATTGTGTGCTTAGTAAAATTTGGAAAAACAAAGAAAACTTATAAGTGAAAGAAATGTTTTCAACGTGTAAACGCAAAGTAAGTGAACAAATTTTAATGCTCATTTTGATTGACTTTTCAAAACATTTTTGCCTACCAAAAGCTTTATCGAACCAACCAAACTACCAAAGGAGAATGAAGCTACCAATTTTGGTCCAATTGGGCCAAAACGGCAACGCTGGATTTGAGCCGAAATTTAATAATTTTTCTACCATTTTGTTAAACATTTTTTTTTTTAATTCACAACTGCAATATCGTGAACTTAATATTCCACAAACACAGCTTCTAAATTTCCGCCAAAATATTTTTTTATTAGCAAATTTAGCTAATTTCACCACTCACGACACCAGCACGCTGGTACAATCATAAAATTTTCAAGTAGTTATTGAAGTCGCACCAGCAGCTGGTACAATCACACCACAAGAGCATACACGGTCAATCGACTTGATGGGCCATTTAACTAATGAAGCATATTAGGGGCCAGTTTTTCAGTGCACGGCCGTGGTNGATGACAGCAGATTGGCAGTGGTACCAGTGGTGCCACGAAGCATTTTTAGTGGTAGCCAAATTCCTTTAAAAAAAGGGCTAAAAAAGAGATAAAAAAAGTCGTTGTGGCTAAAAATGGTAGCTAAAATTCTTTACTTACATAATCATATATAAGTATACACGCAATCATTTTCAATAAGTAATGGTATAGAAAAACAATGAACTCTGGAAAAAAGCGAATATTTTATCCAACCAAAAACCTTTTCGTATAAAAGGGGAAATATACGACACCAGCTTGCTGGATCGATCAAGTGATTGTACCATC